CATCTGCGCCAAACACGGAATTTTCCGGGTATCCGTGTTTTAGGTGGTATACGGTAAGGAAGACCCGCGCGCATGTCCTGAATGATTGCGCAACTCTTTGATCAGAGAAACAGATCGCAATCGTCTCAAACAGTGGAGTAGTGAGAATGTATCAGACAGACAATGCAGAGGTATATGGCTGAAGTACTGGAGGTTAATGGACTCGGAGTCCGATCACTCTTTATTTGATAATTCTGAATCTGATCGGGACGAAGTAGTCAGTGAGAGAGATGCACATGTTCATGCTAGCCATGGACGTGCCGCAGATAGATCGTATAATATTATGACACTATAATATGTGTGTGTGTGTGCAGGCATTTATGTGTGGCTGTCTAAATATGAAGGTGTAATTGTCAAATTATTTCTCTCTTTGTGCACATTTACCACATTGTAATATGTATTTGTGTGTGTGTGTGTGTGTGTGTGTGTGTGTGTGTGTGTGTGTGTGTGTGTGTGTGTGTGTGTGTGTGTGTGTGTGTGTGTGTGTGTGTGTGTGTGTGTGTGTGTCTAGGCCTGTTTATTGTAATTCCAATTATTCATTATTCACAGGTAGAACACAGAGAGGCAGAAGTTTTATTGCAAAAGTTACATTTCCCTTACATCCTGGGAAATTTGATATATTTTACATTTATTTTATGTTTTTAATTTATTTTGGAAAGTTTTATATATGAAGGAAACAACATCTGAATGTATTCTGCTTTTAAATGCACTTGTTTGATAAAAATACCTTTTTTTTGTCCAAAATGTTGTGTTTTTGACAAAACCTACCTCTGTTCAAGAGGCAATAAAAAAAGAACAGATGAAGATAAAATAAAAACGTTTTTTTTGCCTAAAAGCAGAGGCTCAGATCTTTATTTTTATATATATCATCTTCATATATTCATGGAAGAAAATATTCAGCGGGGGCATTCAAATTTAGCGAAAATCGTCAAAAACCCTGGCGGTGGCTGGCAACTTTTTTTTAAAACGCTGGCGGGGAAAGAGTTAAACGTCGGTAGATGAGGTTATGGGATCCTAACTCTACCCCAGACCTAAACCTAACCCTAAACCTAACCCGTCGCCTTACTGACGTTAAAGGTAAAGCGTCAGTTGTATGACGGCCCGGGATCGCCATCTACCGACGTTTAAGGGGGCCCTAAAAAGGCGGATATTGATGTATGGTCAAAAAACGTCCCAAGACGTCAGTTATATGACTTTTTGGGATGAGACTGTGTTAATAATGACCAAGCCATAGAAATAAAGGCTTTTTAACTTTTCTAAAGAGCCTGCCTTGGATGTTTCTGTTGATTTATAAGATAACAAGGGGGTGTGGTTAAACTGAAACACTTTGTAAGACTAATCAACATAATGGGGAACAGCTGAATATGGGACAAGACACATAGCAGGATCACATGACAGACAGGGAATCACATGACAGACAAGAACAAGGAACAAGACAAAACCCACACCATGACACATTCAGTCCAATGTATACAGTGACATAGTATTCAGTGTAAGTTCATGTAACATCTAAAATATATGAATACTTAATAAATATTCAACCTGCAATATATGTGCAAACCTTATTACCACATATTAACACAGACTAATGGGTAATCTATTAAAAGCCACCTTTATTTTTTTTAATCAGACACAGATACTAAACCCAATTTGAGCTAAAACCACAAAACGCCTTGCATAAGGTTAGACAAAGGAAATGTCATTGACTACATTTATTAACAGTGCAACATTTTTAAAGAGTGCCATTGAACAGAAAATATACAAATTATACAATATAAATTAAAGGAATTTCAATGACCAATGTCTATTCCAAACTTTTAGCAGTGCTGTTATGAAATATACTGTAAATAAAATATCTGTAAACAAAATGCTCAAATAATAAGGAATAAATAAACTTTCAAGGACCTTAGGGAACTGTGGAAAAGCATATATGTTTCAATAAACGTATTTGTGTAATGCAGTTGCAGTAATTATTTGTAAATTATTAAAGATATTTTAATTGAGCTAAATAGCTATGCCATGCATGTCATATCATATATAACCCATGTATATATATATATATATATATATACACACACACAACCGGTCAAAAGTGTTAGATCGGTAAGATTTTTTTTGTTTTTAAAAGAAGTCTCTTCTGCTCACCAAGGCTGCAATTATTTGATATAAAATACAAAAAAAAACAGTAATATTGTGAAATATTATTACAATTTAAAACAGCGATTTTCTATGTAAATATATAGTGAAGTGTAATTTACAGCAACATTACTCCAGTCTTCAGTGTCACATGATCATACAAAAAATTGTATAATATGATGCTCAAGATGTTACATGTGTGTCCTGTGGTCCCCCATTCTTTGTGATTTGGTTCAGTCCTGTTTCTATTTTCCCGCTCCTCGTTATTCAGTCCCTTCACCTGTGTTAGGTTAATTTGCCCCAGCTGTGCCTTGTTCCCCTAGTCTGTTCTAGTGGATTTAAACCCTGCGTTCTCCTCACTCCTGGTCCGTTCTCGTTCATGTAATGTGTGAAATTGTGGTTCCTGAGTTTTGGTTTATTAAAGATCCTGTTTTCTGTTATCCCTCGTCTCCTCGTGCTTCTAGTACCACACACCCGTAACACAAGAAACATTTATGATTATTATCCATGTTGAAAACAGTGTTTTACATTTTAATTTCAGGATTCTTTGATGAATAGAAAGTTCAAAAGAACAGAATTGATCTGAAATGGAAAGCTTTTGTAACATTAATCACTACCATTCAAAAGTTTGGGGTCAGTAAGAATTTATTTTTTTATTTTTGGGGGAAAGAAATTAGAAAATACTTTTATTCATCAAGGATGAGTTAAATTGATCAAAAGTTAAAGACTTTTATAATGTTAGAAAAGATTATATTTTAAATAAATGCTGTTCTTTTGAACTTTCTATTCATCGGTTTTGGGGGAAAAAATGTTACACGACTGTTTTCAACATTGAAAATAATAATTTATGGTTTTTGAGCATAAAATCAGCATATTAGAATGATTTCTGAAGGATCATGTGACACTGAAAACTGATGTGTAATCAGCAACAGTAATGATGTTGAAAATTCAGCTTTCAAATTACATTTTAAAATATATTAAAATTGAATTTTTAATAGTCTTTTCTTCTTTTAAAATAGTCATTTTAAATTGTCATAATATTTCACAATATTCATGTTTGTCATTTTTTTTTTCATCAAATAAAACAGCCTTGGTGAGCAGAAGAGACTTCATTTAAAAACATAAAAAATTAATTTTGTGAGTGTTATCGGGGAATCGAATCAGATTCGTGCGTGACGCACGTGGTGCGGCCTGCATATGGTATGCTGCTAAATGTGCATTGAGCTTTTCTTTTGGATTTATGTTTACAAATTATATTATAATTTATTGATTGTTTATCATAGCATGTTATTTTATATAAATATCTGAATTAATGCATATAAATATCTGAATTAATGCTTATGGTCATGTAATGTAGTATAAAATTGATGTACTATACATTATTGTAGTGTATTGATAAGAGTATTAATGTGATATGTCACAAGGAAGATTATGAATGCGTAACATTTATTATTTTATTTACATGTTTTATTTATTTATTTTTCTTAAAAGAACTGTAATAGCCTCAGTCTACCTGAGCGAGAGGCTCGTGAGCGCACGCAATGTTGCTTCTCTCCATGAATGTTACTGAGTGTTACACGAGAGAGAGAGAAGCTGAAGCCCCGTTGATCCACTGATGATCTCTCTGTTTACAGATTAAAAAGGAAAAACATTGGATCTCATCGCTGTGTGGTCGTGTGGTCATTTCCGTTAAAGAGTCCGTTCCAGACATGCTACACATGCATGCATAGGTATATATAAATACCTATGCATGCATGTATTATGCGTATGGAAATACTTTACTAACGTAGCACCACTATTGTTGAAAACGAAAGTAAAAGCATGACGCACGCTCACTGTTTTACAGGGAAATGAGAGCAGTATTTTTTTTTTTTAAATCATTCAAACAGCCTGTTTTTTTTCCCCCATATATTTATTTAACCTCTTATCAAGCACCGGCCCGATTACGGGCCGTCGAGGGCGTGGCTAAACTTTTATTACCTTTTTTAAGCTTTGTTTTATAACAAATATTCAACTGACTATCATAAACTATGCATCATTTGAAAGCTAAAACACTCAAGAATCATGTTCTAAACTTGTTTTTGCAATCAATACAACAGAGAGGAAAGGGTTAAATTAAATGCAAAAGGACCTCTCATTTGAAAATGAGTAAAATGAACCGCTATACTCATCTTTCATCTCGTATGGTTCAGATCCGTTCGGACGAATCCAAGAAACAACAGCATACATTTCAATGTAAGGGTCCATTCTTCAAAATGCATCGCACTTTTTAATCCAAAACAACGAAAAAATAGGGAAAAAGATGAAATATCCTCCTTTGTTTGCATGAGCGTTTTCGAGATAGAGTTCGCGTCATGTTTATTTTCAAAGAAATATCGATTCTTATCCATTTTCCAACACTCAGAAGCCATCTCACCCCTGTAGTTTAGACTCTTCCGGATGAAATGAGTCATCCCCCTTCTCTCTCCTTCAATCACAGGCTCTGTAATCGATCAAAATGCCAAGGGACCGCCTGACAGGCTTAGAAACCTGTCAATCTCGCATCTTGGTTTTTGGCTGGATAAAGTCTGGATATAGCCAGCCAATGTGTAATCGGCAATGTTTTGATGGATGGGAGTATTGACCAATTAAAACACGATTGCAGTGATTGACAGTTCTCAAGCAGATTTGTCAAACACAAGTGCGCAATGTTGTTATTCGCTCGTGCACTTTCGCCATTTTACGCACGGAGCGCATAGGCTATGTATTGGTTCGCTACACGGAGCTCGTATCAACTCATAGATTTTCCCCAAAGTTATATTTGACAATCTCCATCATGGATCATCGTCTACAGAAGCGTTTTTTGTGGTGTTGAGAGTATTTTGGAGGAAGTGATGAGAAGCAGCGACGAAGAGCAAAGACGCAGAGAGATGCATCTGAGAACACGGTGTCGAGCGTCTGTCGAGAGGAGATGTTTGTTCATGGACTCGATCCCGTTTTAGATCGGTAAGTTTCAACACATTGTCATTTATTGTTATGTTTATTATTGGCAGTTTTTCTGTTCATGTAATGTTTTTGATTATAAAATGACGATGGACATTAGCTACTAGCAAAGACACAAGGCTACACGTGCAGGTGATAGAGCTGTAACGTTATATTATAACGATACATAAAGAGAAAATATTTTTATCACACACATTATATTTATGTTGCATTAAATATTACAATAATGGAAGGAAAGGATTATAAGAAGTCAGGTGAAGATGTGTTGATTATAAAATAACAGTGGAGATGACTAGCAAGATATGAGACGTAAACAGTGATACGTTTATATGAATGAATGGTGTAATGAATATAAATATAATGGAAGGAAAGGATTACAAGATGTCAGGTGAAGATATAGTAAATATATATATAATTTTATACATAGAAAAAATAATAATTACAAAGCATTTTTAATGTTGAGCATTATAACGATAAGGTATGTGACATTTGATATTGTAATATGATGGAATATTGATGCTGCTAATAGATGAATGTGACTCAAACTGAAATCCTCTTTTGTGTGTGTGTTTTCCTGTGCAAATTATATTTGTTCTGCTTACACACTTTATTTCTCCTGTCTTTCAGTGGCTTTGGTTTCCAGAACAAACCTTGGTGGTGACTGCCTTGATCAACATGTCTTCCTACACTTTGTAAATACTGTAAGCGGTTGCTTTTTGTTTTTGTAATTGGATATTCATTGTAATTGTTTATTGTAACTTATTTGAGTAAAAAACACTGTTGCAATTACAAATGTTATTTTTTTCTTTTTATATATTTTATTCATTAGTAAAACAATCACTTTTGGATAAATGAAGTGAGTTTTTTTTTCACTGTTTTTGCTATTATAAATGTTCAAAATAAAGAGTATTTTGTTAAAATGTTAAAATGTTGTGCTGAAATAATTTTTTCTTGTGTAGTTTGATGGGCAGAATAGTTCTGAATGGATAAACATGTATGTAGTATGTAGTGTTTACTCCTTATGTCATTTGGTAACCAGGTATCCATTTGGAGTCTCCAAGTGGCCTTTTGGAAAGGACGCCTAGACTTTTCTTGAATAAAAGCTTACAGGAACTACATTTTTGGGAGTATCTTCCTCAAATTTGAATCAAAACATGGTCAGACATTCAGTTTTATCTTTATGGTGTTTTCAAGGCCTTAACATAAAATTCTGATACATTTTTCCCTAAATGAAGTTTATTCAAAGAAATCGTGAATCAATTTCATGTATATTTTACCTTGTTTTACTCTGTTCCTATGCTACTTTGAGTTATAATGACTCTTGGGTAACAAAGTTTCAAGTGTCTAGTTTAAAAAAATATCAGAGTTATGAATGTGGACCATAGGGTTCAAGAGCTACAAAGATTTGTATTTGGGTATGTCGTTTTCAGAAAATTCTCAAAAATAGGGGCGCTGGTTACCCATCTAAAATTCACCCGCAATCAATTGGAATATTATTTTGTATTAGCTTAGAGTCATCACTAACGTGCAGATGTGAATTTATAGCTTTTTTTTCCTTTTCATCCTAAATGATGATGTAAACAACGGGCTGTTTAGCTGGCCACTTCACGTGTTTCTGTGATCTGATTGCTATCCGATCGTGAAAAGACCAGGTGTAGGCTAAATGCCCTCCGAAACGCATTCGAGACGGATTTAAATCCGATCGCTCAAACCACTTCATGAGGAGGTCTGGGCCGAAACTGTACACGTACATGCATATGGTTGTTGAAACCACATGTAAATTGGACTTCTTCCAAAAATGCTGAAATAAAACGTGTGAGAGCAGATGCTATTGTATTCATGACGAAGCTATACGCACCGCAGCTGAGCATCTATTCATAAAGCCAACGTGCAAACTATCGTAAGTAACAGACGCTTAACAAACAATCATCTTCGTTAAAAGTAAAGAAACAAAATTATCTTACCAGTGCTGTCTTTCTCAGTGCGGTCTTTGATTTTGAAATTAGCTGATGATCAATAAAATGCAGCTCATTAGCCTACTGTTGCTTTCGGTGACGTGAACTCCGTTAAATCTGCATATAGCGTTTGAAAATCGGATCCATTTTGCGAAAACATGTGACCAGGTGTAAATGGAATCGTTTTGATAAATCAGATCAGTAAAAACGCATAGTGTCCAGGTGTAAACGGCCCCATTATGAGCTGTCAGCGTCACTTTTTGTTAATTAATTGCTAATTGTGGCATGTTGCAAATCTGTCACATCTGTGTTTTATGAATGACGTCAGCGACTAGTCGACTCGACTTTGATGTCATAACAGTCGACTTCAAAAAATTTGAAGTCGTTTAACCCCTACTGTGGACATAGAATTACAAATGTAGGTTTTTATACTTGAAGCTCCAGTTGCAGTAGGTCAGTAGAGGACAGTGCTGAAAGATATCTGGACAGTCTGAGCTGCTGTATAATTCAGATATCAAGGGTAGTACATTTCCCTTGTACTGCAAATCTGATATTTTTATTCAGCAATGCCTTTTTTATGATCATGAGTTTGCTACTGCAGTTCTTCAACGTTTTTTTTTTTTTTTTTTTTTTTGGATAACAAATGAGTTTCTTGAAATTTATGCAAGAGATTGAAGATATAATGGATGCTACTAATGTGGATTATTAGGAACACCTGGTCAATTTCTCATTAATGCAATTATCTAATCAACCAATCACATGGCAGTTGTTTCAATGTATTTAGGGGTGTGGTCCTGGTCAAGACAATCTCCTGAACTCCAAACTGATTGTCAGAATGGGAAAGAAAGGTAATTTAAGCAATTTTTAGCATTGCATGGTTGTTGTTGCAAGAAGGACCGGTCTGAGTATTTCACAATCTGCTCAGTTACTGGGATTTTCACGCACAACCATTTCTAGGGTTTACAAAGAATGGTGTGAAAAGAGAAAAACATCCAGTATGCGGCAGTCCTGTGAGCGAAAATGCCTAGAGCAGTGTTTCCCAACCCTGTTCCTGCCGGCACACCAACACTGCACGTATTCTTTAGCCGTTTCTCAATACCATGTACGCAGACTTCGGATTTGCGTCCTTGGTAGTTCAGACTTGCAAGTTCGACTCCGGAGAACGAACTCCCGAGGATGCGAGGACGCAAGTCCGGTTCTTCTGCAAATGGAACAGAGAGTACTTGATTTGCGTCACTCAGCACGCTGTACTCTATATTTTAGGCAATAATAAAACGAAATTTGCTACAACTCTGCATCTTTTCGTCAACAATAAAACGAAAGATGTTATAAAACACCCCTCTGACTCTTTTCATTAACAAAAAACAACATAGCCTATTAGCCTAATGGCCATGTGGTTCAGGCAACGCGATTCTCTTCACTGCATATATTTATAACAAAATGAACATGATCTTTTTGTTTTCATTTTAAAAATATGAAACATTGATTTTTATTGACATTTATCAAACAGAGACAGGGTTATGTCGTTTTATTTTATTGTTCATATAGTGAAGATAATATAAAAAAAAAATGTTGTTGAAGTTAAATAGCCATGAAACCTCAAAAACTATTTATTTATTTTTTTTCTGCGCCATGGAACAAACTATAGTTTAATGAGACCAAAGATAGACTTAAACACAGGACGAATTATATGTCAAGGTTTATCCACTAGACTAGAGAGATCAGAGCCAGCGGCAAACGTCAGAAGCACTAGCCGAGGATAAGCTGTTCCAGTCGGGGTTGATCTCGCTGAGTGTCCGCTGAAGGCTTGGATGTCAGAACTCCGAAAACGTCAGATGCATTTTTCAGATAGGCGCTATCTTTATAAATAAACTACAGATTTGAGATTTAAACAACCATATTCCCGCAACACTCTTAAAATGACATTTCATGACTCAATAACAGTAGTATTTTGATATTTCGAGGCTTTTCTCCTCTCCAATTGACGCTTACTGGTTGGTGCGAGGTGCATTCTGGGTTACCTGGCTATCTCAAGTCCACACAAGTCACCTCTCGATGCATCCTCGGTAAACGGGGCGGATCAAGAACACATCCGGGGATTTAAAGTGGACTTGGCTAGATGCGAACTTTGAATTGGAACAGTACTTCGGCAGCGACTGATGACGTTTCACAAGTCCACAAGAACACAAGTACAGACAAGTACGCATATATTGAGAAACGGCTTTTGTCTCCCTTATCAAACACACCTGATTCAACTCATCAGCTCATAATAACATGGGTTAATGAGCTGATGAGTTGAATCAGGTGTGCTTGATTAGGGAGACAAAGAATACACGCAGTGTTGGTGTCCCGCCAGTAACAGGGTTGGGAAACACTGGCCTAGAGGTTAGAGGAGAATGGGCCGACTAATTCAAGGTGATAGAAGAGCAACTTTGACTGAAATAACCACTCGTTACAACCGAGGTATGCAGCATTTGTGAAGCCACAACACGCACAACCTTGAGGCGGATGGGCTACAACAGCAGAAGACCCCACCGGGTACCGCTCATCTCCACTACAAATAGGAAAAAGAGGTTACAATTTGCAAGAGCTCGCCAAAATTGGACAACTGAAGACTGGAAAAATGTTGCCTGGTCTGATGAGTCTCGATTTCTGTTGAGACATTCAGATGGTAGAGCCAGAATTTGGCCTAAACAGAATGAGAACATGGATACATCATGCCTTGTTACCACTGTGCAGGCTGGTGGCAGTTTAAAGGGCACCAATTATGCCCCTTTTTACAAGATGTAATATTGGTCTTGGGTGTCCCTATAGGGACATTCTATAGAATGTATTTGTGAAGTTTCAGCACAAAATATCCCACAGTTAATTTATTATATTTGAATATGTCATTTTTGGGGCCTGTTTTAAAATAGGCTCTTTTGGTGTATTAAATGCAAATGAGCTGCATATTCCCACCCTGTCTTTGGATGAGGGCGTCGTCTTGCAGACCTATGGCAGACAGTCGGTAAGCAGAAGGGCAGAAGGGAGTGAGAGACCCGCTGCGGTTTTGTATGTCATTCAGCCTTACATGTTTGAATTGGAAAATAAAAAAGTCTCTGATCAGACCCAGATGACGAAGATGTCAGGATCTGGGGTACTTCTCTGTTCTCTCTCACCTTCATACTACCACAGACATTTAATTACACACCTATCTCTCTCACTCTCCAGCGCACACATGTTTCACCTGTTGATCATCACTATCAGCGCTCCCGCTGCCTTGCGCTCACACCTGGACCTGTGTCTTGGCTTGTCTGATTACTCAGTCTACTTCTGCTGTTTGTTCTCTCTGTTCTATGTCGGATTATTGTGTGAGTAACGCTCTCTCATTTTATCAGTCTAAGGAATCTTGTCTTGTCTTGTGTAGCAGTATTTGCCTTGTTGTCTCCTGTTTGCCTGTGTCCTGCTGTGTTGAGCCGCATCCGCAATTCTCTATGCTCAGCTGTCTTCTTTAAGGACCATTCACTCTGAGAGTTTTTCTGTTCAACGTTTTCTCTCCCGACAATGTATCTCTGTGAAGCTGTCTACCTGGAGAGTGCCTTCTCAGTTCTAGTTCTGAGCTATCTATCTGAAAGCTAATTTTTGTTGGACATTAAAGGGTTAGTTCACCCAAAAATGAAAATTAAGTCATTAATTACTCACCCCCATGCTGTACCAACCCCGTAAGACCTTCGTTCATCTTCGGAACACAAATGAAGATATTTTTGATTAAATTTGAGAGCTGTCTCACTACCACATTGGCTGCCTAAGGGACTGGCTCTTGAC